CCATATTTTTACCTCGCTTTTTGGTCAGTACACTCAATTCAGAATCAAGCCCCGTTACGTGTGTGCGCATGTGCACATTTTGCGGCTCCCAGTTTTTGTTTTTATTTTGTAAGGGAAATGGGTCCAAGTGGCTCTTTCACCATTTTAGGTTGCCAACCCCTGACCTAGAGGCAAACAAAGTTATAACCAAAAGCCAACATGAGTTTGTCAAAAAAAAGAACACACCAGGCAAATCTTATTGCATTCTTTGACCAGGTGACAAAATTAGTGGATGTGATGATCCAGGGCCCTAAACGGAGGCAAACCAATTAGCTGATCAGAATAATTGTCTATGTAAGCACTGCCAATGTTCACCCAATAGACCCCACAAATGCTGGCACAAGTTCAATAAAACAGTCAACGGAGTTAAACAGTTCTTTAAAGTAAAACAGATAACAAAGTATGATCTTTTCAACTCCCAGCTTGCCTGTAACCTGCAAACTGCAAAACTGAAGACAGCAAGGAAAACTCAGCAGGAAGCAAACTTGGTCCAAAATACAAAGTGTCCAGGTGCAAGAGCACACTATCACAAGAGTTCACATTTGTTCCTGGCAAATGCCCCACCCCATAGCATTTCCTTAAATACCTACTCCCCAGGTGTGCCTTGTGAAGTGGGGCATGATGCTCTCCTCCCAAGCAAGTGAGTCTGCCTCCGTTGTTCCCTCCTCCTCTCTGCTCTCCTTGCTCTGGGATCTGGTGGGGAGGGGCCTTGCTCCTGACCTGAGCTCTGCCTTCCCTGTTCCAAACTTGAAGGGCCCTGGCCTGCTTCAGTCTGTTCCTCCCCACAGTCCTCCAAAGCCACAGACACCCCCTCCTGGGCCTCAACAGAGAATTCCATGTTGTCCTCAGAGTCAGGCTTGGACGGAGGCATGACATTATCCCCCCCACAGGACCCCCTCCCCAGGACCATGTGGACTAGGATGGTGTGGGAACCGGGTATGAAAGTCGCGAACCAGACAAGGGGCGTGAACGTCGATGGCATCGATCCATGTGAAGTCCTCAGGTCCATAGCCTTTCCACGCCATGAGATACTGAAACCAGCCCCGCAACTGACAGGAATCCCAAATACTGTCCACTTCATACTCCATATCTCCATGGAGGGTGGCCAGATCTGGTGGTGGTGGAATTGGCTGATGTGGATCATCGACTTCGACTGGAACCAGCAAAGACCTGTGGAAAACTGGGTGAATCCGCATCGTGCAGGGCAATGACAAGCAAAACGCCACCGGATTGATCACCGCTTCGACCAGAAATGGACCCAAGTAATGGTGATCAAGTTTTTTCGATGGCCGTGCTGTAGGCACATGCTGCGTGGAAAGCCAAACCCGATCGTCCACAGATAATGAAGGGACATCTTGACGATGACGGTCGACAAATCATTTATAATCCTTCTTGGCTTTCTCCAGCTGGTGCCGAACTACTTGATGCACCACCTTCAGCTCCTGGAGGAACTTGTCCATGGCCAGAACTGGAGAGTCCAATGGAGCCAACAGAAAGAGCCGTGGATGAAATCCGTAACTGGCAAAGAACGGTGACACACGGGTAGCTGCATGCTGGGCATTGTTATAGGCAAACTCCGTCACAACCAGCAACTCTGCTCAATTGTCCTGTTGGATGTTGCTGAAACAGCGGAGGTACTGTTCCAAAATTGCATTCACTTTCTCTGTGCCCCTATCGGTTTCAGGGTGATGGGCGGAGGACAGACACGCCTGTACTTGCAATTCTATGAGTAGAGTCTGCCAGAAGCGTGCCATAAATTGCACTCCCTGATCTGACATGACTTAGTCCAGTAACCCATGCAGCTGAAATACATGGGTGATAAACAACTGGGCCATCATCCATGCTGTAGGGAGACCCACACACAGGATAAAATGAGCCATTTTGGTGACTATGTCCACCACCACCAAGACAGTTGTGGCATCCTTGGAAGGAGGCAACTCAGTAATGAAGTCCAACGAGACCACCCCCCAGGGTTTTTCCGGCGTGGGTGGAGGCTGCAAGAGACCAGGGGGCACACTAGTAGCATACTTGGCCTGCCGACAAATGCTGCATGATGCCACATAACTAGACACATCGTGCCGGAGCCGCGGCCACCAAAACATTCTGGAGACAAGGTGCAGTGTTTTGAAGACTCTGAAGTGATCCGCTGATGGATTATCATGGCATTGTTCCTAGGGGAACATAGATGCAGTCTCGGAAACGCAACAGGTTGTCCATGTACATTCAAGGGGTCTTATCTCCCTCATCGCCAGCCAACTCATGACGTTGAGCTGCCACGAATGGATCCTGCCTCTTCTTCCATATGCGGCCCAATACGCATGTGAAGGGGTCTGGTTGCAGCAACCACTGGGCTGGAATGAAGGGACCGCCCATCAATCGTCTCCACCAAGACTGGCAGTGACAACTGCTGCTGGGGAATGGACCACTACGTGACAAAATCTGAATCCATGAAATTAGCAGTAGCCCCGGAGTCCACCAAGGCCTGGACCTCCACCGCTCCCTGACCAGGCATGAACACAGTCGCTGGTAACACAAGATGTTTAACAAGAGTCTGCTGAGGTGGAGGTACTGGACCCGTGTCCAAGTGAGCCCAGCCTATGAAGCCCTCTAGGCCGGGCCTGGCCCGTTTCCTGTTGCCACTTTGGGTACCTTCACCAGACACTTGGCTGCCATATGGCCTGGACCGCCACAATACAAGCAAAGGCCTTCACGGCAGCAGTGATCTTTTTCAGCTTGGGTCAGATGGGGTTGTGCAGCCCCCAACTGCATTGGCTCCTCCGGAGGCGGTGCCAACAGTGCCACTGTCTTAACAGGTGTGGGCAAGGCCTCCATCAGTCGTTGTGCCCGTCGCTGCTGGAGTCTTGCATCAATACAGAGACACAGGTGCATGGCTCCTGCAAGGAGCGAGGGCATTCAGTGCATGCAAGCTCATCCAGGAGTTCGGACGAAAGTCCCTCCTGAAACTGGTCCATAAGCACCACCTTGTTCCACTCCAACTCCTGACAAACCAACTGAAACGTAGCAATGTAGTCTGTCAGCGAACCACACCCGTCGCAACTCTCTCACCCGATGGTTTGCAGTCTGGGCCATAAGTGGGTCCTCAAACATGGCCTTGAGTTGCCGGCAAAACTCTGCATAATTGTCAGCTGATTGGTCTGGGTCAGCAGGGGTGTTGCCCAATGTGCTGCCATTCCTGTCAACAGGCTTAGCACAAACCCCACCTTATCCCAGTCAGTGGGGAAATCCTCAGGCCGAAGGCTCATACATAACGGCACTGCCCAAAAAATGATGGGAATCGTGCCTGTGAGCCATCAAACTTGCCTGGCACTGGAAAGGGTTTCTGTAGTGTGGCCAAGCTGCTTGCATCTGTGCCGTCAGGAGGGCCACCTGCTGTTTTAACTGATCATTTTCCACATGAAGCTGGTCCATGGTTGCCCCACTTGGTCTGGAGGAGCAATTGGGAGTGGGACGGGAACAAAATGTGATGGCCCAGGGCCCTGAATGGAGGCAAAGCAATTAGCTGGTCAGAATAATTGTCTTTGTAAGCACTACCAACGTTCACCCAACAGCCCTCACATATGCTGGCACAAGTTGAATAAAACAGTCAACGGAGTTAAACAGTTCTTTAAAGTAAAACAGATAACAAACAAAGTATGATCTTTTCAACACTCAGCTTGCCTGTAACCTGCAAACTGCAAAACTGAAGACAGCAAAGAAAACTCAGCAGTAAACAAACTTGATCCAGAATACAAAGAATCCAGGTACAAGAGCTCATGTTTGTTCCCGGCAAATGCCCCACCCCACAGCGTCTCCTTAAATACCTACTCCCCAGGTGTGCCTTGTGAAGTGAGGCGTGACGCTCTCCTCCCGAGCAAGTGAGCCTGCCTCCGTTGTTCCATCCTTCTATCTGCTCTCCTTGCTCCAGGATCTGGTGGGGAGGGGCCTTGCTCCTCGCCTGAGGTCTGCCTTCCCTGTTCCAACCTTGAAGGGCTCTGGCCTGCTTCAGCCTGTTCCTCCCCACAGTCCTCCGAATCCACAGACACCCCCTCCTGGGCCTCAACATGGAACTCCATGTCATCCTTAGAGTCAGGCTCAGACGGAGGCATGACAGTGGACCTGAGGAATACTGTGGATATAATTTATTTGGACTTAAGTAAGGCATTTGATAAAGGAGATCATAGCCTACTACTAGATAAGATAGAAAAATGTGGGTTAAACAGCATTACCACCAGATGGATTCATAACTGGCTGACCAACCACACTCAATGTGTAGTCCTCAATGAAACTGCATCTACATGGAGGGAAGTTTGCAGTGGGATATGCCAAGGATCTGTTTTAGGCCCAGTACTCTTCAACATCTTCATCAATGATTTGGATAAGGGGATAGATGGGGAACTCATCAAATTTGCAGATGACACCAAGTTGGCAGGAGTAGTCAACACTCTATAACACAGATTTAAGGTACAGAAGGATCTTGATAAACTTGAACATTGGGCATTATCTAACAAAAGGAAATTCAGTGGTGAAAAATGTAAAATTCTACATTTAGTCAAGAAAAACCAATGCACATATACAGTATAGGTGGTACCTCATCAATAATACAAGTAGTAACTGTGAGTGGGATCTTGGAGTCCTAGTGGACAATCACTTAAATATGAGCCAGCAGTGTGCTGCAACTGTCAAAAAAGCCAACACAGTTCTAGGCTGTATTAACAGAGTGGTAGAATCAAGATTACATGAAGTGTTAATACCACTTAATAATGTCTTGGTAAGGCCACACATGGAATACAGCATCCAATTTTGTTCACCATGATGTAAAAAAGATGTTGAGACTCTAGAAAGAGTACAGAGAAGAACAACAAAGATGATCAGGGGACTGGAGGCTAAAACATACGAAGAATTGTTACAGGAATTGTGTATGTGTAGTTTAATGAAAAGAAGAATTAAGGGTGACATAATAACAGTGTTCCAATATCTCAGGGGTTGCCACAAAGAAGAGGGAGTCAAGCTATTCTCCAAATCACCTGAAGGCAGGATAAGAAGCAATAGATGGAAACTAATCTAAAAGAGAAGCTACTTAGAATTAATAAGAAACTTCCTGACAGTTAGAATAATTAACCAGTGGAACAACTTTTCCTCCAGAAGCTGTGAGTGCTCCAACAGTGGAAGTTTTTAAGAAGAGATTGGACAGCCATTTGTATGAAATGGTACAAAATGTCCTGCCAAAGCAGGAGATTGGATTAGAAGACATCCAAGGTGCCTTCCAATTCTGTTATTCTGTTCTGTTCTGTGCTGTGCTGTGCTGTGCTATTCTAAACTGCAGTTTTCAAGTACTGTTCAAAGATATGCCAATGTATAGCATATTTCAATAATTTATCCTGTCAGGTCTTCCTACTCCAAATAAAATTGCAAATGGCCAAAGCTGAAATAATGCTTTGGCCACCACCTCCATCTTACAATAACTATGAATATGAGAATACTCCAGTTGTGTTCTTTCAGAGACACATAAAAGAAAATCATTCATTTAATATAAGTGTATGTGCGATTTTCTGAACTGTTCCTATGCATCCAAATAAGTAAATTGTAATTCACAAGGCATAAAGATATTAGTCTTCAAAATAACAAAATTTATGGGACTTTTGAATTCTTAAGCAAAAACTGTTTAGTTTAGGCATGTCAAACTGCCAGCCCACGGGCCAGATGCGTCCCACCAAAACCGTGCCCACCCCTTTGCTGGCAATGGGGGGGAAAGTCACGATATTTCACGCGACATCACATGATGTTACGAGTTTGACATGCCTGGTTTAGTTGTTCTTAGCAGAGTTTTGTATTTTGATTTGTAATCCTTTGGTTAAACAACTTCCATAAAGCATCTTTGATATCTTTATTCCTCATGCTATAGATTACAGGGTTCATCATTGGAGGGATCACAGAGTAGATCACTGCAAGGACTGCATCCCAATTGTAAGAAGACTCAGAATTTGGTACGAAATGAGAAAATAAAGCTGTACCAGTTAATAAGCAGACAACAAGGAGATGGGGGATGCAAGTAGAGAAGGCCTTTTGTCTACTGGCCACTGAAGACATGCTCAATATGGTCTTAAAGATTTTTACATAGGACATGACAATTAAAATAAAAGAAACAACACCAAGCAAAGCACTAAAGAGAAGAACCCTGATTTCACTGAATTTGGGATCGAAGCAGGAACTCTTCATGAGATGTGGGATTTCACAGAAGAACTGATGGATGACTTTGGAACAGAAAGGCAACGAAAAAAGGATTCCTGCATGCATGGCAGCATTAAGAAAACCGAGCATCCATGCAGCCCCTGCCATCTGGAAGCAGCTTCCCCATTTCATCACAGACACATAATGTAAAGGATGACAGATAGCCACATATCTGTCATAAGCCATAGCAGTGAGAAGGAAAAGGTCTGAAGACAGGAAGAAAACAAAGAAAAACATTTGCACTGCACATTCAGAATAGGATATCATTCCTGTATTCATGAGGGCACTGGCCATTGATCTGGGAATGGTGATAGAGGTAGATCCCAGATCAACAGTTGCTAAATTGACCAGAAAGAAGTACATTGGTTTCTGAAGATGGTTGTTCACTACTACCAAAATGATGAGGAGAAGATTTCCTATCAGGATGGCCAGATACATCAGGAGGAAGACCACAAAGTGCAAAAACTGGAACTCCCGCTGATCAGAAAATCCCATAAGCAAGAAATCCATGATGATGGTTATATTTGGCATCATTTTGTTGATATTTTAACTGTCGAGAAAGACATCAATATAACAAATCTTGCCATTGAATTTGATTCCAGTTTATAAAACTAAACATTCCAACTCTCTTATTTTCATTTTGATATGGCCACTCCCATAACATAGAAAGCTACATTTAGAACTTCCAAGGTAACTTCATCAGTAACAACTTCCTTTAGTAAGCAACCAATTCTGCCGGAGTATAATACAGTATAGTGTAAGATTTTATCATATTATTTAATCAGATAATTGCAATCTTACTTAAACTTAGAATTCAGATACAATTCTGCTTTCCTATGATTGTAAAAGCATCATTTGCTATTATGCACCAATGTACCATCAAATCAGCAGCTGTCTAATATCCATGGATCTGAAGTAAATCATGCTTGATTGTAAGCCTAATTAAAATCTTTATTTGGAATGACTCTTCTATTGCTTTTAACAACAAAATATGGTTGACCAAGCCAGTCTCAGTTTATCTACAGATATCTTCAAGAATTGGTTAAAAAAGGAGATAGAAATAGAATTAATATTTGAAGCTCCAGGTTGGATAGATTTCTAATTAGCGCAATATGGGCACTGCAGCCCATATATTTCTATTTCAAGATTTTAGCTTATTTTTGACAAAATCTTAAAAATGAAAACTTAAAAGAAAGATACCAGTTTTGTAGGTGACCTTTTCTTAGGTTTTTTTCAAGATTCACAATGTGAAAAGCAAGTTGCATATTTAACTAAGAAATATATAAATAGGTTATATTGGAATTCAGAAATGAGTTCTCAGTTCCTAAAAATCAGAAATAAAAAATGGAAATGAACATGAAGAAATATACAGGAAACCATCACAAAGAGATACATACTTGATAAAATAATTTTGGAGCTGACTTTTTCCCCACAAAGATCCTTTTAAGTTGATAATTGTCCTTCACATTCTAGTTTGCCACATATATTTTGTCTCTCTCTCTCTTTTTCAGAATGCTTTTAATTTCTTTCACATCTCACACAAACTTTCAAAGTTTTGTGGTAGATTCACAACATAACTCTAGTTAAACGGTAACTGTATGATAAAATGATGGAGAAAAAGCTAGCTTTGAACAGTAGTAAATATTTTTATGATGGAAATGGATTTATAGCTAGACTTCAGAGATTTTTGTTCTTTTGCTAAAACAATCCTGAATTAAAAACAACAAGAAGAAAAAAGTTGATTTTCCTTACTAACTGACCACCTCCAAAAAATTGCATTCTATGACTACTATTCATATAATCCAATTGTATTTATTATGTTGCAGATTTGGTGAAAGAAACCTCCTCAACAAGTACTAATCACTCCCATATGGAATATAGACCCAACATTAAAATCTTTCATGAACAAGGGAATTACACATTGGAGATTAATATAATTCTTGTTGTATTGTCAAGAACTTTTTATGTTTCCCTTGAAAATGAGGAAGGTACAATACAGCCACAAAATATCACTGACTGCATTCTGACAAACAATTTTGAGAATTGTCTGTATCTTTATATTTATATGGTCCACATATTCATTTTCAGAAAGAGACTTCAGTCATGCAAACTACTATATACAAAAAAATAGATGTTTCTTTATATAATTGAGAAATGAGGTTTTACATTACTGCCCAGATAGCCTTTGACTTAAAACCATTTCTTTAGCGTCTGTTAAAAGTTACAGCGCTGAAAAAAGTGACTTATGACCAGTCCTCATATTTACAAACATCACAGCATCCCCACAATTTTATCACAGTTAAGGCGTTTGGCAACCAGCATGTATTGATTACGGTTGAAGCATCCTGGGGTCATGTGATCACTATTTGCAGCCTTCCCGGGCAGTTCCTGAAAACTGAAGTCAATGAGGGAAGCCAGTTTCACTTAACAATTGCATGATTCATTTAACAACTGAAGTGATTCACTTAATAACCATGGCAAAAAAGTTGCAAAATTGGCACAACTCACTTAACAACCACCTCTCTTAGCAATGGAAATTCTGCCCCGATTGTGGCTGTAAGTTGAGGATTACCTGTGGTTCTCTGTAATATTTCCAAAATACTATGTCATGAGGTAAAGTAGTTTTTATGACCATATTTATCCCAAATACCCCTTAGAATTAATACTACATCACAATATCAACTTGCCATGCAGAGATTTAATGATGCAGCCAGCAGCTGCTTCCCAATCAATATTTTTATAAAAAGGAAGCCAAGAGAAGAATTCTTTTATTAAATGGTTTGCATTTAATAAAACAGCACCAACAGCAAAAGTAATAGCAATAGATATTAATAAATAAATTAAAATTTCATTTATGGTAAGATTACCACTCCCCATTGATTTATATTTTAAGAGGCATTCTGCTGTTAACAGTAAACAGACATTCATCCAGATAGCCAGACTATTGAAGAAATATACATAGAATACAGGCCTTTAATAATGTCATTGGCTAAACTGAAACTCTTTTGATGAAAGAGGCTTTAATTTCAGAAATAACACTAGGCATTTATTTTATCTACAGTAAATTTATGTGAAATGGAGTTTGACTGTATATCAACTTTTATGGACATTATAGGAAAGTTATTATTTATTTTTCCTTTAAGATCTTGGCAATTATTTAACTCCAATGTATCATAAACTTTTTTCCTCTAAGTTGAGAGCAACTAGACATATGTGGACCTTCCTGAGGTGTAGATTGGAATTTGGTGTTATCATGAATATAATATCTATCTTTATAGAAGAATTCTAATTTAAAAGTAAATGCTGAGACACTCTTTTGTAAAATATTGGAAAGGATACTGTCTGAATAGTAACTTTAAATCAATTACTTAGTCATAATTATTTAAGGAAAATTATGTGTTTATTTGTTTAAAAGATTTTTAAATTTAGCTAAATCTGGAGCCTAGTCATCTAATGTCTTCATTGACTGTCAATATCTGAAACTTGTCTTTTAGAAAAGTTTTAAAGAATATTTGCTTTTGTCCCTGAAAAAAATCATAATAAATGTGAGTTGATCTTATGAAATAGTACACTAATCAATTTATTTCTCCAATGGACATCAATATTCCAAACATAGGAGTCTTAACAAAGCACAAAGTCATTTTAAAAATCACATTCATTATGATATTTCAGTGCAAACTCCAAATTCAGGTATGTAAGGAGCAGGTTTCATTATGTCACAATATAAGTTACAAACTTGCCCACAATATCACATAAGCTGAAGTCACAATGGCAAGTGTCTTATCTCTGTGCAACCAACACCCAAACAAGATTACAATAGCCACCGCTACCCCTGTAGATAGCCAGCCTCAGTAATGTTACCAGTAAAGGACATTTCTCAAAGAATTCTGAGCCTTATTTCAAGATGACAACACTTAAGAAAGAAAATCAGAGCAAAATGTAGATTCCATGACCAAATATTTCAGCAAGATAAGATTTAAGAACATTTTCCATTGATTTAATCAAATTTAATCAAAACAGGCAGCCAATATCTTCTTATCCCAATACATAGTGTAATAAGTATATTAATGTTAAAATATGGGTATTATACCCGATTTCTATTTTGTTAAAGGTTAACACAAGTAATTCCAGCTTTTCAACCATTTCATATAAGTGTATATGTGTGATTCTCTGGACTACGCCCAATGCATCCAAATAAGTACATTGGAGTTCACAAGTATTAAATGAAAATAAAGATGTTAGTCTTTAGGACACCAAAATTTGTGGGATTTTTTAATTCTTTAGCAAAAGTTGCTTAAGATTTCAACTTAAGCAGGTTCTGTATTTTGATTTGTAATCCTTTGATTAAACAACATCCATAAAGCAGCTTTGATATCCTTATTCCTCATGCTATAGATTACAGGGTTCATCATTGAGGGACCACAGAGTAGATCACTACAAGGACCACATCCCAATAGTAAGAAGATGCAGAATTTGATATGAATTGAGAAAATATACCTGTACCACATAATAAGCAGACAACAAGGAGATGGGGAATGCAAGTAGAGAAGGCCTTTTGTCTACTGGCCACTGAAGTCATGCTCAATATGGATTTTTACATAGGACATGACAATAAAATAAAAACAACAACACAAAGCAAAGAACTAAAGAGAAGAACATGGATTTCACAGAATTTGGGATCGAAGCAGGAAATCTTCATGAGGTGTGGGATTTCACAGAAGAACTGATGGATGACTTTGGAACAAAAGGGCAATGAAAAAAGGGTTCCTGCATGCATGGCAGCATTAAGAAAGCTGAGCATCCATGCAGCCCCTGCCATCTGGAAGCAGCTTCTCCATTGCATCATGGACATGTAGTGTAAAGGATGACAGATAGCCACATATCTGTCATAGGCCATAGCAGTGAGAAGGAAAAGGTCTGAAGGCAGGAAGAAAACAAAGAAAAACATTTGCACAGCACATTCAGAATAGGATATCTTTCTTGTGTTCATGAGAGCACTGGCCATTGACCTGGGAATGGTGACAGAGGTGTATCCCAGATCAACAATTGCTAAATTGACCAGAAAGAAGTACATTGGTGTCTCAAGATGGTTGTTCATCACTACCAAAATGATGAGGAGAAGATTTCCTATCAGGATAGCCAGATACATCAGGAGGAAGACCACAAAGTGCAAAAACTGGAACTCTCGTTGATCAGAAAATCCCATAAGCAAGAAATCCATGATGATGGTTATATTTGGCATCATTTTGTTAATAGTTAAACTGTCGAGAAAGACATATTGATTTAACAAAGCTTGCCATTGAATACGATTCTATTTTTCAAAACTATACACTCCAATTAACTTATTTTCATTTTGATATGGTCACTCCTATAACAAGGAAAGCTACATAACTTCAAGTTAGTTCTTCAGTAGTGACATCCTTTATTAAGGAACCAATTCTGCATCAAAAAAATATAATATACTGCAATAGATTATCATTTTACTTAATTATATAATTCCAATCTGGTTTAAACCTGGAGATTTTCAGCTGCATGACATCCTATAGATATGAAATATCTTAGGCAAGATTGAAGCCTATTTAGATTGTTTATGTATAATCGAGGGACGATAGGGCCTGTTATTTTGGCATTTCACTGAATTTTTAACTTTTGGAAAACAAAGACCATATAAGCTTTTTCTATGATGACATGATCCCAGATATAGATCAACCATTTTATATTAGGTAATATGATATCTCCTGTGTCCCAAAGGCCATATCTTGAACTGAAAAGGTATGAAAAACATTTCATACCTTTGAAATGTTAGAGATAGCCCTTTCTTCTACTATTACAGAGATTTTATCTGCAGCCATGAAATATATTCATGGATATGAACTGTCAAGAGAAAGTTCCATGTTTGTTAATTAGCACAAAACTAGTACTTCAGTTGTTTTATTGAACATATTACATTTCTCCTTTTAGGTTTTAGCCTATTTTATCAAAACTACAAATACAACAACAAAACCTCTTTGTTAAAACGCATAAGACAGGTAGCCTGTTGTATCTTTCTTTAATAACCTTTATAAATTTTAAAATGTAAAAACTTACTTTTTCCCCATTGATTCTTTTAAATTGATAATGAAAATAGGAGTACAAGCTGGTCTGTATCCACTTTTTTCCTTTTGTTTCTTAATATTTCTTAATATTACAACCTCTAGAGATCTTTTTGTGGAAGACTTACAACACACCTTTAGCTCAAGTATAAATGCATGAAGATTGATGTGGTATTATATAATGGAAATGAATTTGGATCCAGAGATTATTATTCTTATTAAAAAATAGACTTAAATTTAAAAAAACAAAGAATAAAGTAAAATATTTCCTCATTATATCTTTAAACTCTCAGTCTATAGCTATTATTCTTGTAATCCAGCAGTTACATTCAGACATGACTTTCTTCTCAACATTTCATAACTAGTCCCTTAAGGAACATGAACACAACATCAAAGACTTCTATATACAAAAGAGTGATTGCACAATGACAACTTTAGTGGTGGCAGATGCTAATCTCCAGGACACTGCAAGGACATAATGTTTACTTTCAACAAGAGGAATGTACAGTAGAGGTAGAAAATATTGAGAGTAATATTATTTTATGAAGTAATGAAATGTGGAAGTTTCTCTTTCTGTAATTAAGGATTGATATAATATCTGATGTTTTCGATCACTGCCTTTAGTTTCCCAAAATATTATGTCATGAACTAAAACAATTGTCCCTTATAGACCATTGTATCTATCCCAACTATTCCTTACAAACTT